TATCATCCATTTTGCGATCTCTGCTATCCTTTCGATCATCATCATCACTGTAACTTCTTCTGTCCTCACTTCTATCTCTGGATCTTCTATCATATCTTCTATCCCTGTAATCTCTAAAACCTCCCCTGTTGAAAAATCTACCTCTATGACCCTGGCCGCGACCCCTGTTCCTATAATTATTGTTATATCCTCCTCCTCTGCCGCGACCTCTGTAATTTCTATCGTAATCGCGATATCCACCTCTGCCGCGGAATCCGCCGCGATTTTGATTCTGGAAACTGTTGTTGAACCGCGGTTTATAGTAGGTACCGCGATTATCCCATCCTCCGCGACCGCGATTGTTAAGCCGGCGGTCGTACCTGCGACCGCGGCTGTTGCTTCGATAGGAGCGGGAACGAGAACGAGATCTCGAGCCGTACGAGCGGGACCGTGAACGGGAACGAGAGCGGGACCGGCTGCCGCTGGCGTAGCTGCGAGAACGAGAGCGGCTGCGGCTGTATTTGCGATAGCTGCCTCCACTGCGAGAACGCTTGCCTGATAAAAGAAAGATTTTATGTCATAACTTTTGATATATTATTGTCTTTATCAAAAATATCTTTAGCAATTTATGTTTACTCAAATAGCAACAGCATAAAGAATTGTATTTTTGTTTTGGACAAAAACGATTACCTAATAATAAGTAGAATTTTAAACTAGGATGCCCCTTGCGCAGTTTTTAATTGTTCACTCAAGCTAAGTTTGTTAACACATATGGGGCTAAATTTTTGTTCTACATAAAAAAAATAGTGAAATAATCATTAAACCTATATATGCAATTTTACTTTCAATATTTCGGTATTAAGGGGGTCTTCCTATGTGATGGGTTGAAAAAATCGATTTTTTTCTTTTTTCATATTTCGGTAGATTTACCTTTAAAAATAACATATTAAAATTTCAAATCAATATCTCAAATAGTTTGAGTTACAGCTATTTAAAAAGTATACATATAGTATATAGTACAACGATCATTTTATCTTTAAACTGTGTTTTTCAAACTTTCCTCCATTGTATCTCAAAAACGGCTGGACCGAATTACTTGAAATTTACAGGACACACTAAATATATTTAAACGCATGAAATGAACTTTTATCAAAACTTCGATTTTTTTATAGCAAAAAACAAAAAAAAAATACGCCTAATTTGCAACTTTTATTTCAAATGCTTATCAAAAATCCAATTTTTTTTATATTCACTTGATTATAGGTCATTCCGTGCTTTTAAGCCTACAAATTAAAACGCCGTTTATTTTATTTTTTTCTGATAAGCCAATCAGCCGGAATCGTGGAGGAAGTGGGAGCTCTTTTTTTCGAGGCGGGGGTGTTCAGAGCGCTGTAACTCTAGTTTGACTGAATATTTTTAGCTGAAATTTTATATTTATACTGTTCAAATATGTGTTAATAAATGATAAAAAACTTGAAGCTCTAAATATTTACTGGTCGTAGAAAAAAAATCCTAAAATATCCCTAAAAAACAGGCCGTCACATAGGAAGACCCCCTTAATGAATTATGTAACTTTGAAATCACAGTGACCTTTAATGTTTGCACTTCTGGCCCTAAATATTGATCGTGGTGTCTTGATTCCACTACAAAATTAAAATTTATGCATAATCTTATAAAAAATAAGCCATAAATATTTGGTGTATTATTGAAAAATTTGGAATGTGACCTAAAAAAGCCATAGAATGTTAATAAAGTTCATATATAATCAAAGGAGCAATATAAATTTGATAATTGAGTACTAGGATAATATGTTGACATATTTAAAAAAAAATCTTAAAATGTAAAAACACTTAAATAAAACTTATTAAATAAAAATAATATTAATTATTTTTTAACTTAATAAATTTTTTTTTTTAACACATGGACATGATCCTTGTAATAATAATCATTGTACGACGGTTTGTGAAATAAATGAATAAGCATTACCTCTGCTGGATCTGGATCTTGATCTACTGCTGCCTGATCTATAATTTCTGGGCTTAGATCTGCTACGAGATTTTCTATCCATGAGTGATGGGTCATCCTTTGGCAATGCTGGTGGTGGCTCTTCAACCAATCTGAAATTCCCAAATTTATCCAAAACTACATTTCCTTTAGGCTGCTGTTTTGGTGAAGGCGGTTTTAATTCCTCAGGTTTTCTTGAAGGGGGCGGAGGTGGAGGGGCTGCCTTAGATGATGATTTACGCGCCATTTTGCTTTCAGTCGGGGTAGGCGGTAATGCAATATTATTTGTCGCTTTCATTTCATCTTCAGATTCAGAAGCCGCAAAAGGATAAGATTTCACCAGCTTATTTTTAGAAGTCTCTTGTTTCGCAGCAAATCTAAAATATAGTATAATTAAGAATACTGTTGAAATACATGTGAAAGTGTAGTAATTAAATTATACTAAATAATCATTCACTGCCTGCCTACAGTGAATAATAATGATAGACTTCTAAACTGCATATTTATTTGTATGACAGTAATATTTTCCATATTGAATATTACCTATTATCTTTCCCAAATTGCATTTTCCATTTCCCTTCCACTGAATCAGGTTCTGGAGGATAATTTTCAAGATGCGGAGGAGCATTCTTATGTTCTCTTCTGCCTAGATTATTGTGATCAGGTGATTCTTCATGTAAACTCATTTGCGAACCAGACCTTAAAAAAAGAAAAGAAATATGATAGTGCAAAAAACATCACATAAATATTGAACATATAAAATCACCACCTTATCCCTTTTATACAAACCTTTTAGAAATGGGGTCTTTTTCCATTTTAGCATAATAAGCATTCAATTTTGTCTCCAATTCATCCAAATCATCTAGATCTCTGAAAAGAAAATCAAGAATTGAAATAAAACTACAAATATATTTTGGGAAAATCCGGTTTACCAATGACATTTGTTCATTAAGAAAACATTTAAATAAAAACAAAAGTCAATGATAAAAGTAATTGTTGTTACACAAGGGATTTTCACTGAAACTAACTTTGAAATTGGATTGAACATTTTGTCATCATCAGTGCTGATATTTCTAGATCGATGTTTTTTAGAAGCGTTGTTCATTTCATCTAATATCTCTCCATGTTTGTGAGAAGATAATTCTTTTCTGGAACAAAATATATAGGAACTGAATGAAATACTAATCATAGTAAAAATGAGATAACTCCAGACAAACCGCACTCAGAAAGCTGGAACGTCATAACAGTGATTAATATAAATGATAAAAACATCTTATCATGTAGCATCTTATAAATTTTTAGCATATATGATTTTACCAATCTTGATGTGATTTTTTCAAGCGATCTCACATGCCGTTCAATTCTACTAATTCACAAACTTCATACACAACTATTGAGACTTCTACAATGATCTGTAATTTGCATTAAGTATTTCATATGAAAAAATATATTATTTACCTTAAAGCATCTCTGAACTTTTTGCTTTCCATTTGTTGTTCAAATTCTCTAAGATCAAATGGGCGACCTCTTTTCATTGCCTTTCGCTCTTTACGTTCACGTTCTTTGCGTTTGCGTTTGCTTTCCTTTTTAACTTTACCACCAGATTTATCTTTCTTGTTCTTTTTTCTCTTAGGTTTCGCTACTGAGGATTCTGATTCAGCCAGAATTGTCTTTTGTTTTTTAAACCTCGCAGTTTCTTCTAAAAACTTGCGAACTTTCTCTTCATAGTCAGAATCTTCACGGGTCATCTCTAAGAATTTTCGAACCTAAGAGAAGAATGAGTCATATTTCACTAATAGGAAAAAATTTGAAAGTATTTAAAATTTAATATTAAAACAATGTCTCTCCACTGAATAATATCTACCTTATTTTCGTAATCATCTCCTTGTGGAGCACCTTTATTGAACTGCAAAGTATTTGATGCAGTATTACTGTGTGGTTGTTGGGGATCCATCAAAGCCATACGTTTACTCAAAGGTGAAAGAGAACCTCTTGCTTTAGAATGATCACGAGAAGAACGCTTTTTCTTTCGCCTTTTACCACCTTCATTATCAGAGCCTATTTAAAGAAATGTAGTATATCAAACATCAAATAGTATTTTAATTTAAGGACAAAAGATTGAATAAATAATATATTGAGGAGAAAATAATGAAATATAAAACAATGAATATATACTTTATGTATTTGTTACTTATATTTATTCCAAAAATTTTAGTATTATTCAAAGAATTATAATTGTTGTTATTAAGGATATACTGGAAAATATCACAACCTTTACTTTTTATTTTTTTGTAGCACAAAAAGAAATTAATTTTGTATTATTATTACTCAACAAGATTACAATGTGAAACTAATTTGAAACTTTACAGACCATTGTGGAACCCCTATCTTAATATTTAAACTGTTTAAAAGAAATGTCACCCTGTATATTTGTATATACACACACCTGTTGAGCTAGAACTGTTTTCTGAACTACTTTCGGAGCTACTATCACTGCTTTGTGAACTGTCAGAAGAGCTACTACTAGAAGTAGTGCTAGAGTTGTTCCGTCTTTTCTTCATTTTTGAGCCCTTTTTCTTCTTTTTCTTACCAGACCCATCCTTACGACTTTCATTCCCATCATCTTCAAGATTGGATTGTCTAGATACCAGGTTTGGTAAAAGCAATTCTCCAGCATCGATTAATGGTTTGACCGCTGCAACCAAAATGTTACTTAGTAAAATTATATATGTATATTGTAATACTTGATAAACTATGAAAACAAACCTCCACTTTTGTTCTTCAAGTATTCAATAGAACTTTTAGCTTCTTCGTGGTATGGAATAATTGCTAAACAATCTTGATAAGCTTTTCTGGCTTCATCATATTTATGATCGTCCTCATAGCTTCGACCTAAAGCGACTAATGTTTCTCCCATATATTTTCTTGCATTAGCATGACCAGGATTTAATTTCAATGCGTTTTCGAAGTCTTCTATAGCTTTCTTAAAGGATCCTGAAATAATAATATAAAATAAATATTTTAATTTCAAAGAGATATATTTATATTATAAATAAAGTGATAATAAGTGAATAATAAATTAAGTGATATTTTGTGAAACTGGTATTACCTGTATTAGCATATAATGCACCCCTTGCAACTAATCCTTCTACATTTCTTGGATCTATAGATAGAGCTTTATTTAGGCAACCAAAAGCTTCAGTATGCCGATTGGATTTGAAATGTTCAATTCCTTCAGCAACAGAACGGAAAGCCCATTTACTTGCCTGAGCCTACACACAATATGGATATATTAACATTTGTATTTTACTACATATCACTAACATTAGAAGAAAGTAATGAATCAAAAATTATATTAAAATTATTAAATATAATGCATTGCAAAATGTTTAGTATAATACCTGTCGTAATTCATTAACATATTCCTGCTGAGGAAAACGTTTTCTGAAGGCTTTCATATTTGAATGATTTTCTGATCCAAGGCCCAAAATATCAGATAGATATTGAATGCAAGTTGGATTGTTGAATCCAGGACATTTTGAAAGCATTGCATGGTAAGTCTCCCCTTTTGCATCAAGAGCTTTCCTAACATAAAAACAGTTAATAGAATAAAATTTAAGTTCTACGATTTGGATTTCATGCTAAATAAATTTGGCACATTGTAGTATTTGCATCAAGCCCTTCAATTGTTATTAATTATGCAATATAGGTCATAAGTTTTGATTTTTGCCATTGTATGTTGAACCATAAACACTCTTGGTGATACATTCTGTATTAATTTCTCTTTTGAGAAAAGATTGTTGAATATTCATAAAACTTTGCTATAAAGCTGCTTAGACAGAGACTTCTACTGAGATAAACAAATCTACAATTTGAAGATTCAAATGTAAAAGATCGAATATTATTGTAATAAAAATATATTTAAAAACCAAGTTTTATAAAACATGTTTCAAAAGACAATGCATCTTAGTTAATTCCTCACCTTCATTTTTGCTAGAGATATAAAACGACCATGAATATTTTATGTAATGAGCATCAAATAGTATCATTTTTTCAACAAGTCACAGAGTTAGCTCTTATCAGTATATTTGGATTGTATTTTATTTGAAAGTCAAATAGATCAAATAGAAATTTGCACATGTTGCACATCAGATTTGCAAATCTAATACCTGAAAAGTTAACTAAAAACGGCCCTAACCCCACTGGCATATTTCATTATCCATGGATTTGAGCATTTTTCAATTCTCATTTTGTTTAGTTATCCATTTTATCAGAATATTTTCATTCCTTCTGTTTTATAACATATAGTGTATGATTTTTCATTAAACATAAATATTTAGTATTGGGCTTTCTGCAATATTAAATAAAATCATTTAATACTAGCAACATTACATTTAAATGCGCAAACATTTGAAACATTTTTGAGAAATAATTGTGAGCTTATGGAAAATATGAACAAAAAAAATATATACAATATTTGGTTGTTCAGTAGGTGTAGCACATATTGAACAATTTCATTTAACGTCATACAATGTAAATAAAACAAACTCATACTAGAACAAACTATATGGAATATTTTGTATCAAAATAATTACCAACACACCTCAAAGTATTTTGTGAAACTAGAAAACATTTTGAATAGTTTGTTGTTCAAATGTTGTAAATTGATTCCCAAGTTAGTTCTATAAGAAATTTTAAATTGATGAGTACTAAAAATAATTCTCTGAACATACTTGTACATATTAGGATAGTCATCGGCATGAATTAATCCAAGGGGAGGAGCAGTTGGGTCTTCAGTATGGCGCATTGACCCCTTCATGCCTACGGACATTTTATCGGTGTCTGGAATTACTTCTAGAACCTCACAAATGACAGTATCGTTTACGGCATAGCCACGTGTAGTATTCTTCTTCACATCGAAAGCTGGTATTGTATTTGACATAGAACAGAATGCCTGTCATAAGATAAAATATTGTTTAAGTGTTTATTGTAAATTTTCAGTTGATGTGAAAGTATGTAAATAAATAAATAGAGCAAACACAAATTAAGAATAAAACAGAAATCATGATGAGCTAACTATGTACAAATGTATTTCTTGGAATTTTTGATCTTTTGTGGAATCTTACTGATGAATAATCATTTTGAATGATTTGAAAATCAGTAAACACTTACCTTGACATTAATATCAGCAACAAATCGACAACTAGAACCTTGGCCAACTGTACATAAAATCTTGAGAAGCATCCCTGAAGTACTTTTGTTAATAATGGTGCCCATAACTAAATCACCAGCCTTTACAACCTGCTTAACAAAACTCTTTTAGAAAGGAATATACAACAGATTAATTCAAATAAAGCAAAATAAAAATATGTAGGAACTGCAGAATATCAATTCAAACCAAAATAAAATAACTCAAACTTATTTAAATGGTTGAATTAACATTTGCACTGAAATATTAATATAGAATACCTTCTAAAACCTTCAACATACTTAAATGTTCAATATGGTTTTATTTATCATTCGAACATTGATATTATACCAATATATTTTATTACATCAATTGTCTCTAAAGGTAGCACTTTTTTACAAACATTATGCAATATATGTATATGTATGTTTTCATTCTTCACAAAACATAGCGTTTCATTCAATATATAAAAAAAAACTGCAGACAAATATAAATTCTCGCATTTAATACCTAAAGAATAAAAAATCATGTCAAATAAAATGGTTGGAATATTAATAATGTAAGATTTTCCCACTATTTATATATTGAATATATGTAAACTTTCCCAGCATATGCTGTTACAATCATGTTTGTAAAAATACTCATGAACCAATTTCAAAATTCACCTCAAAAAAGTGCCTTTGCCTATTTGTTTTATCCATGTTCATAAATAGTTCAAATGGTGGGAGCACCGCATATATCTCTGAAAAAACATTGAACTGTATTAGTATTTTACTTCTGACATAAAATATTTATAAAATAGTTTATATCACTAAAATCAGTGTTAATATCCACATTAAATGCAAAATCAATTATTAACCTATGTTGCGGATATATTATAGACCAATTCAGATTTGGAAATAATATGGTATTAACTAGGTACATTCATACAATATTTAACAATTACTACGCATTAATTACTAGCACAATTACTAGTATGACTGTAAATTTGATGAAATTAATTAAATTTTGTAAAAAAAAACATGCTGAAAATCTAATTTCAAATCACGTTTAAATAAACAAAATTTATTAGATATATTGAGAAAGAAGGCCATGATTACAACAAAGATCGACCTAATTCATATATGCTGTCGGTAAAGATGTTTATAAATACACATTAATTGAGAACTGAAAAATAATTTTAGAATGTTCATAACCCTAATTACATAGAAAAGTTAATACAAAAAATTACAGTATTTTTATTATTATATATAATAAATTTCATATACATACACAGTAGAATCTCACTAATCTGGCACTATTAAAAACCAGAGCACCCAGGTATAGTGGAATGTTCGGATTACTAGATTATAGTGAAAATGTTATAGATGCTTTGTTTACAATAGTATGAACAAATACAAACATTTATTTTGACCATTTAATTGTATAATAAACTATAATGCATTAAAATTAATTTATCACAATGATATTATTATTAGATTTTTTTTGGACATTCACAATAAATGAGAATATTTTTTTGTAATGATTAATGTATTTTTGTAATATTTCAAAAACAGGGGAGGTGAATTAGCTTACAAGTGTCGATATCATAAAAAATGATCGAGAGTTTGTAGTAAATAATTTTAAATAATATAATATCGTAATAGATTGTGCATATGTATATATACTCCTTTTCATATATTTTATGAAAAATCAATAACCACCCAGTTAACTATTAAGAAGTTTAAAACCCTATTATAACAGTCAAGTATTAATGACGACATTTTAAATGTAAAAATGTTTGGTAACTTACTTTCACTGTCCTTGTCATCGATTTTAGGCTTTTCAGTAGGAGTCAAATCTTGTAGCAAATCGACATCGAATAAAAAACTAGCTTTCTTGGCTATAAACTGCTGCAGTTTCAATCTCTTTCCCCGGTCTTGAAAATTTAAGAATTTTTGCCTAACTTGATATTCTGCATAATCAGGTGTGGGAACGCCAATTTTATATAAATCATTTTCGCCACGTTCGCTCTCCCATATTTTCTGTAGTTGTTGTCCATGATAATTTAAGGATTTGGCTATTAAAGCCGCGGATAATTGCGTCTCCATTTCCAAATATTAGTAATATCCTAAAGAATGGACATGTTTGTGAGGCATAAGATAAAACGCCGATACAAAATGGCGCTGAAAATGATTAAATGACGAGCTTTTGCTTACCTAAAATATTAAGTATGTCCTCACGATCACGTAGCCCTAATATCATTTCTAATTTCATCAATAATTCAATTGTTGCGGTACATGCCACTAATATTTAACACTTTTCACTACTTCTCATGCGTATATTATATTTAACACTAGCCTGTACAAGTCTATAACAAACACTCCTTCATCAAACACCATCAACTGTGCGACTATCGATCGGAAAACTGTGTTGCCAGATGCCACCTAAATGCACGATGTACAACATAACAAACTTAAAATATTAATCATTTAGCGCAATTTAGCGTAAGATGGCCACATAACCTATCTAACCAATTTTTATTTCTTTGTTTACATTTTAAAGTCAAAATGAATGTTAATCAAGTTTTTGTTTTTAATATTATTTTATCTTTAATACGTCATGTACTGATCTGCAAATAATACTTGAAATACCAAAATTGCTACTAAAATATTTTTCATAATGCCCGTTACAGAATATTTTTGAGGTTATGAAGACTTTTTAGAACATTGATCATGTAAAAGTTATATATCTCTTCAAAAATAATTTGCTATTGCCCATATTTATTTGTAATCTCTATCATTTTTATTATAAAATATTTGTGAAATTCTTTTAAAAGAGAAATTTCTATTAAATATGTTGCACTTAGGAAAAAGAAACAATCCATTTCCTTGTTTCATATCACCGACTATAGCAAATCAATTGAAATATCATCAAATTCAAGGTTTGAGATTTTTGTACAAGAACTTTATAAATGTGTGTAAGAAAAATGTAAATATATATATAAGCCCTATAGTAAGCATTTGTAATAGTACGTTCTGTGTTTGTACAGTAAATTACAACAATTGCTTACTTTTGGGTTGCTGCTATAATATTAACTTATTCAACTATTTAATATTTTATTCAGGATCAAGGAATAATTTTAAATGACGCCGAAGGGCTAGGGAAACGAGTCACAATTGCAGCTTTATTACATGCTTTCATAACAAACAGTTCTAAAATAATCTCTTCAGTGTTAATTTTGTGCATGAGCAAATCTCAAAGCGAAAAATGGATGTACATATTGCACACATTTGCGGGACTTGAAACTATCTCTGTATCTGATTTTGGTATTGATCTATATAAGTATTTTCATAGTTATTTTAGTTATTGAAAATTTTCTTAAAGCTATTACTATAAGACAAAATGCCTGATTGATTGATTTACATGACACAAAATAAAAATTAGTTTATGTAGCTATACCTGCACTCCCTCTTGAATTAATTGCATCAACTGCGAAGCATTACAATACTTACCATTAGTATATTTGCTTGCTAAAACTGAAAACAAAATAATAAACACATATATTTTATTTACTCTTCATTCAATTCATCCAAACATTCTATATCATTAATATATTATTAACCTTACATAAACTTGGGATTATTATAAATTTAAGTTTTAGAACAGATATTTTGCAACTTTTTATATTTCAGAAAAATTGAAAAAAGGAATTGTAATAGAGTGTATAAAATCTAGTCATTTTGAATTAAATTGTAATTCTTCTTTCAAAGACTTCAATTGTGTTATATTGGAAGTGACCGATTCTATTAATTGGAATATGTTAAAAAAAATAATGTGTCCCGTAAGAACTCGAAAAAAAATAATAGTTACTGATACGAAGTTACGTGATGACTTACTAAAACTTTGGTCTTGCATTAGCTGCATAGATCCTGAACTGGCGGGAGATCAGTCATATTTTCTTCAGAAATTTGAGTAAATATGTTAGAATTGATATTTAGTGAATAATGTAATACTTTTCTAAGATATTTTTTTTATAGACACAAAGATTTCAAATATGAAATGATTTTATCTGCCAGATTACGAAATATTTTATTAAGAAGAGAACTAAACGATATAGATTATAAAGATTTTCCAATAGTCGACGAAAAGGTAATACATAAAGATGTATAATACATTATATAGACATTTTTACATTTAGTATTGGTTTCAAAAGATCTATAATTTTTTACCTCCCTGACTAAATTTTACATCTTTATCCATTATTTCGAATGCGAATTCAACATAACATATCACTACTAATGTAAAGGTAAAATTTAAAACGTAAAACAGGCCAAATATTTCTATGGTAGAAAAATCATTGCTACAACTGATGAAGTTTTTCATTTTCATTTTACATTTTACGAGTTAGAGTAAACTTTCTTGTGCAGCATCAATACTTTTCAGGCAATTATTGAATTTTCGCTGGCTTTCTCAGAGTCTCATTTCTCTTTGATAAACCCAATATAGACTTTATCTAAATATAACAATAGGACAATAAGCATATAAATGTAAATAGTTAACAATTTTCTTATCTACGTAATTAACTATAATTATTTCATTAATTTTTATTTATATCTGGGTTAGGTAACTGAAATGGAGTATAAAGCATGGAAAAAAAATAAACATTCAAATTAGTATTATCAGATTCACAATCCAGTAATTCAACCAGTGATAATAGTCAAAAGAGCAGTACAGATTCCGATACATTCAAAATACCTAACTTACCTTCTATTAACAATGAAGATGAGAATATTTCCAATTCTATAGCTACAAATAATAATATAAAGCATCTTACTTATGTTGTTTCTACACCATTGTCGGATGGATCAATTATGCCTGAAAACGATGGCATTCAAAGCCAAAACACAAGTAATTCCAAAAAAAGTTTCCCCAAAGATATTGTATCAGCACGAGTAGTGTCTCCATCAGATTACACTTCAGATGAAACTTTTGAAGCCTTGAGTTTGATATTTCCAATAACACAAAATTGTAGAAAAAGGAGATCACCAAGAAAAAGAAAAGCAGAGACCCATCGATGGCTAGCATGCTCAAAAGATAAAATTTTAAATGAGAAAATTGATTTAATGCTTAGTTCTGATGATAGCAGCTCCGAATTAGGTCGTGAGGTTATAAATCATAACACTAGTGCTAATAAAAGCATTGATCAAAGTGATAATGAAATTTTAATTGGTTCTAAAACCAATAATTCAATGTGTTCAACTATATACCAAAGAAATAACAAAGTACAGATAAGTGAGACTGAAAGCATCTTAGAAAATATTTTTTCTCCTGACAGAACTATTATAGCTAGCGACATCATAGACAGTTTAGTTTCCATTATTTTCACTAATAATTTATTTAATAGGTGATTTTAATCTTAAATTGGGCACTATGAGAACACCCTAATCCAATTTATATATTATCAACTATTTTTAATATTGCTAGTTATATTTGCAATTGATGGAAAAAAAATTTATACAATTTTATTATATGTATATTTAATGAATACACATGAAATAAATAGTTTCATTTCTATTAATAACAACAATTTTTGGTGTACTTATAGTTATATCTTGGAAATGGAACAGTGAAATTCTTGTTTATAACATAAATTGTTCAAATTGCGAAATGCATTTTATTATTTGAGATCAAATCACAGTAGTGAATTTTTAATGTAAGATAATAAATGACAAGTGATTATTTAATCATTTGAGTTCATTATTTTTTGATAAATTAGTCAATTTTTGTAGTAAATAAAGTATAATTAAAATTGCTGATCAATTTATTGCCTTTTGAGTTTCAAAGTTTAGAATTTTTAATATGTACTATTATACAAATTTCATAAATTTTGCTATTTAAATACATTCAATAATTTTATATACTGTATTCATTATAATATGGATTTAAAAATACTGCTCGTATTACACACAAGTACCTTGAAGATAAAAAAAATTATTATAATATTCTGTATGAAGATCAATATGCCCACATTACATGGCAAAATAATAATTTGCATACTTTAACTAAATCTTGATAATTTAATTAATTGACAATTGTTCAATGAATATAATGTTAAAACGTCCGATATTTTGACAATGGAACATTCAAGAAAAATTATTATAGAGATATTCTTTCAGAAACATAGAATTTTGTAACATTATAATCGTTGATAGTTGATTAATTAAATGGGCAAGATATATTTAACTTGTACTGATTGTTAATATGTTACAAATTAATTAGGTTTACTACAGTTTTTATTACGATATTTAAAACATTTGGGAATAATGAAGATACTATAAACTATCTTTTCTTTTGTATGATATATATATATATATATATATATATATATATATATATATATTTATTTGTAATATTTTTGCAGCCCAACGTCAAATTAAAAAAAAGATTAAATAACAAAATTATTTATTCCATTAAACGTTTCGATACTTGATGTGTGTCATCATTCAGTAATCTAAAAAACATAACATAAATACAAAGTTGATCATAAATATAAATATATAAAAAGGAGGAAATTATACATACCAAACCAGGAAAAACAACAGAATAAATTAATTATGATGTAAAACTGATTGAACACTAAGTTTGTGTAAATTTTACATCTTACAAAAAATGATAAAAATTCATAGTGTGGACAAGTTAGATGTATAAATGTTAGTGCTAATTTCTAGTGTTGTGTACACATCTTAGATGTAACCTACCAACATTAATATCCACTGATGATGACATTAAATTGAATGTCGAAACGTTTGGAATTAAAGATTAATTTATAAATTTTGCTTTTTATTTTTTGATGTATCGCCCCACAAGAACTTATATATATATATATATATATATATATATATATATATATATATATATATATATATATGTATATACATATAATGTATATATACCAAAACATTCAATTTGTGTTCAATTGTTAAAATAGTTGTATTTTAAGTCACATATAAAATTATTCTAATTCTTAATACAAGATAATAATCTCTAAAATTAATTATTTCGATGATAATTTTCAACAGGCTACTACTTAAAAAATCATTATATTACTTTGTTGTGAGCTTAAATTTCCTTTCCAAGTTATAGATCATTAGCAAAACTCTATTTAAACCCAGGATATGTCTCTTTAATTAATGTTATAGTTTTAATTTAATATAGTAAAATTAAATGTTAGAACATTTATCCACATAATGTGCTGCAGGAAAGAAGCAGCTCCTAACACAATAATGTATTGATCGATTAAGAATAGTGCCATCAATATGTTACAGTCTCTCATTGCAAAAGGCTTTAAAAACGCAATACCATAAATTTTTCTTATAATCTAAACATCAAATAGATTTAAAATTGTGATTATAAATTCATTACTGTACACTACTAGCGATATATAAAAAATATTGCATCATAAAATAAACATGACACAATCATTCTAAATTTTATATTACATTATATATTTTAAAGTTTTACTTCAAAAACAGAACACTTACATTATCACTTTTAAAACAATCAAATTTTCTTCATAGAGAACAAAAGTGTATGCTAAATTGTGAAATCACATATAGACGTAGATAACATTTGAGCGAGTATACTATATAAACTATAATACCTTAAATATTACATATATTGCGAATCAATTTATACCGTGAGTGTACATTTGTTTTACAATTATAAAGACTAACAAATGTAAAATATAACATTAATAATTTCAAACAATAAATGATAATTATCTTTCAATATGACAAAAGGATGTGCAAATTTCAATTACAAATAGCTCAACAACATTAGGAATACATCTGAATTATTTTCTATAAAAAGTTATGAGCAGGATTATAATCAGTCTCTCCAAAGATCTTCTTGATCCTCATTCTTGAAGTGTCAATTCCGTTTGAATTATTAATACAATACTAATGAAGTCAATAATAAAAAAAACGCTTATTCATAACAGTTCACGCTTGTATCATATACTTATGGCAGTTCAATGGAAATGATTCTTTAGTGTTGCTCAATTCACGGATGGAGATCTGTCGCTACTAGAATAATATAATCAATGTGAGCATACTAGATATGTATAATAATGTTTTGAATTAAAAAAAAACCTGATAAGAATCAACTCGAATCGAGCTTATATATGGTAAAAAGTCAAAAGGCCTCAACGATGTATTAAAAATGATTTACATTTGAAGTAGGTTGAAAAAAAACAATAGTCAGAATCTTGGGTCGTTTGATAGAATGTTTATTTTACTAATCTAAACGGAGAGCTGTATGTTATGTTGTTTGCTTTATATGATAAATCATTATTACATATAGTATTAAGTAAAATGTGATTCCAATCAGGTTGTTTTAAGTGCTTCATTCGAATGATTTAATACACTTGATTCGAGTTGGCATATCACTAATATATATATATATATATATATATATATATATATATATATATATATATATATATATATATTGAATAAAACAGCCAATGCATTGAATGTAGAAATGTGTATTTTAAATTTTTATACATTTTGAGACTAGATGTGTCTCATCATTCAGCTAAATGAAATTAACAATATAAGGAAAAGTTTTAGAATTAAAAATATAACAGACAAATTAGATTATACATACCAGCAGATCAGGAAAAAACACATGTTCTAACACATGTAGTAATTTGTCTAATTGTTATATTTTTAATTCTAAAACTTTTCCTTATATTGTACATTTCTTTTAGCTGAATGATAAGACACATATAGTCTCTAAACGTATAAAAATTTAAAATAAACATTTCTACATTTGATGCATTGGCTGTTTTATTTAATTCAATATGTTTCAAAGTCAAACAAAAAATCCTCGATATATATATATATATATATATATATATATATATATATATATATATATATATATATATATGAGTAAGTTCTTCAAGGGCAATACATCAAATAAAAGGCAAAGATTTTATGTCATCATCAGTGGATCTACAGAATGAACATTGAAAAATTAATATAAACTAGAAAAAAATGACAGAAATTGGAAAAAGAACAATAGATAAAGGTATTATAATTATAACAATAACAATTATAACTAAACAGATAGACAAACAGACATATATATACGACATACATGTACAGACACGTACATATATACATATATACACATAATACATATATATATATACACATATATATACACATAATACGTATATATATACACATATATATATACACATATACATACATAAATACATATATGCATATATACATATATATAAATACATATATACATGTATATATAAATACATATATACATATATACATATATATACATATATATATATATATATATATATACATATACATATACACATATATAAACAACAAAGGTAACTTACATAAATAAGGTCTTAAATCAGTAACTAGCGTATGGCACATAATTTTGCACTATCATATATACACTAACTTGTTTTTTGTTTTTGTTGAACAGAGCATAGCAAAATATTTGTGAAATATAATATATTTTGCACGGAAAAAGTAGTTTATGTGTACAATCTCATATCATGTTGTTTTAGTCGTTTTATTAAACTGGACAGAATTTAATAAAACGACTAAAACAACATGATAATAACTCAAAAAATCCTCGACAAAATCAAACCATGATAACAGAACATATAAAAAATTGTAAACATTCTTTTAACTTTTACAACGCTAGTATAATTTATCACAAACGGAACATTATATATATATATATATATATATATATATATATATATATATATATATATGATTTAGTAGTTAATTTTGATGTTGAAATATATGAGTGAGTTCTTGAGGGCGATACATCAAACAAAGAAAAGCCAAAGATTTATAAAATAATCTTTATTTCCAAACGTTTCGACATTCAATTTAATGTCATCATCAGTGGATATTACGTTGGTTGGTTACATATAGAGAAGTGTACACAGCACTAGAGATTGGCACTAACATTTATACAACTAACTTGTCAGCACTATGCATTTTTTATATAATTTTTTTGTATGATGTAAACTGATAGTTTTATTGAACAAAAATGTAAGTAGCTATGTACCTACCGAGGCATGTATCATGCCTACATGCATGTATACATGCCTCGGTACTAGCAAAGTACAGAAGTCGTGGCAGAAATTACATAATTCTACTTACATTTTTGTTCAATAAAACTATCATTTTTCTGTTCACATCATACAAAAAAATTATATAAAAAATGCATAGTGCTGACAAGTTAGTTGTATAAATGTTAGTGCCAATCTCTAGTGCTGTGTACACTTCTCTATATGTAACCAACCAACGTAATATCCACTGATGATGACATTAAATTGAATGTCAAAACGTTTGGAAATAAAGATTATTTTATAAATCTTTGGCTTTTCTTTGTTTGATGTATCGCCCTCAAGAACTCACTCATATATATATATATGTATGTATATATGTATATATGTATGTATATATGTATATATGTATATATATATATATATATATATATGTATATATGCATATATGTATTTATGTATGTATATGTGTATATATATACATATTATGTGTATATATATGTATATATGTACGTGTCTGTACATATATGTCATATATATGTCTGTTTATGTGTATTTTTATGTATATATATATATATATATATATATATATATATATATACTCTTTTGTATGTTTGTATATATTTCTTTTTACTTTTCATTTCTTATGTTTGTCTATCTGTTTAGTTATAATTGTTATTGTTATAATTATAATACTTGTATCTATAGTTCTTTTTCCAATTTCTGTCATTTTTTCCTAGTTTATATTAGTTATTCAATGTTCATTCTGTAGATCCACTGATGATGACATAAAATCCTATGTCAAAACGTTTGGAAAAAAATTAAAGATTAACTTCTAAATCTTTGCCTTTTATTTGATGTATTGCCCTTGAAGAACTTACTCATATTTCTCAACATCAAAACTAAGTTCTTTAACTTGGAAAACAATATCAGATCTATTATTTTTTTTTACAAAATCAAAATAATACACTATATAAAATCTTATATCCTAAACAAAAATATCAAACAAAAAAACCTTACAATATTTCAGGCTTAAGCAAATAATTTGTAAGATAAGACTTTATATACAAGGCTATTATAGCATGATCAAAAAAAGATAAATGCATATGAGAAGCATAATGCTTCACTGTACATTTAACTTATCTGCGCAAATATACTTACCCAGGTCCTGGATAATAGTAAGGCGGTGGTCTCTCGTACTCAGAAGGAGGCAGTGGCGGACTATGGTAACGTGGCGGAGCATCTTCCGAGTAATCATCCCATTGCCTATAACATAATCATATATGAAAAAAATCGAAGATCATTATTAAATTTTAACGATCATTGATGAAGATCGATGTTGCAACAACACATTAAGCAAAAGCGGCAATAATTCTCTACCAAACCTGATAACTATCCATAATAAATGTAATTATTCCATCACAATTGTTAACCATAGTTAACCAGCTGAAAACTTTATATAAACCACTTCATTATAAAGCTAAATTATTATTGATTACTTATACTTCTCCCACAAAACAACGAACATCGGCTTTTTGATGAAAGATCAAATCTAGATAATAAAAATAGAAACAAAAGCATGAACTTATGAGAATAGTATCGCATGAAGGCAGTCAAAATAGAAACAAAATTGATCTTGCAAATAAACTCAGACCTTATCAATTATTCTTATATGATGATATTAGACATTCAATATTAACAGTTGCGCACCGTATAGTACGATTAAAGCATGCTGACTTATACTCTGATTCTATGAAACCACTCCGCATGTGGGGAAAAATTCGTAAATAATTTGCTTAAAATATTATTTCAAATTTTCTGTTAAGAATTCATGCAAACCTAAAAATGAAAAACCTAATTAGCACTCTCCGATGCGCTTGATTCCCTATTTTTTATAACGTCACGTAATATAATTGTTTAAAATTCATTTAAATTAAATTACATTTAATTGCTTGAACTTTCCAATGCAAGAGTTTTCTTACCAGAAGTTTGCATTCAATATTTTAGCAAAATATTCATATCATAATAGTATTACCAAAATGACCCTTTTGCAGACAACTTACATCAGCACATCAGAAAAATTTTAATTTATTATCAAAACATACCCCCTCTAAATACAAAATGTAACTGATTTACATATGTTGGACACCCTCATATTGGGTCCACCTTGTTGAAACAGGGTCCACATTTTCAACAGGTTTTGGACTAATATTATCTGTCGTATATATGGAGTCTTCAGCTTCCTGATGCCTATGTTTTCATAAAGATTTAATATTTACATAAAGTACTTCCCTTCAGAGAGAAAAGTTGTAGCACTATGCGCAATGTGAATTTTAAATAAAAAGGATAATTAATTATTAGATTATATCTTCCTTTTTCTATTACTATGAAAAGCTGAATTAATTTAATCCAAAAGAACTGTTATTGAATAAGTAGTAAAAATAGTAATCAACACGCGTGGTGCAAATAATTAATAAATAGATGTTTATACACCATAACAGAAGTGAATCAGCTTGAAAAAAAAAGACAATTAAAATAAATCACTTACTTTCTGGCCATATCTGTATAGCGATGGTCATGAGAAGCAGATGGTCCCTGAGAACTCGATTCCCTTTGTCCATGTCTATCATGTTTTTTATTATCCTTGCTGCGACGTTTGCTTTCTGGTGGGCTGGCACAAAAATTAAACCAAAATTAAAAATAATCAAATACAATATAGAAAAAATGATGATATAAAGGTAACACAAAATATGTAAATGTTAAATATGTTTATATTATACTAATGATAAATTGTAACCCCCAGAGCAAAAACGACATGATCTGTACTGAGCAAGCTGATACGACAAATTACAGTCGTGGAAAATAATTGAATGTTGATATTATTTTTAATTACAACAAAATATTTGAACGATTTTTCTTTTAAAACTATAAACATAAAGTCACCTGATAAAAATAAGCATATTTTATAACAAAAATTTCAATTCATGGGGTTACAACTTACTGTTTTCAATATGTGCTCTCACCTTGTTAAAGAAATATTATCACGATCAGCGTAAGCATCATATAAATATTCCCTAAAAACAATTAGTCTGTTAGCAAGTATAAAGGACACAAATACCACAATTAATATAATCATTAGTTACAACAAAGCATAAGAAAATAGTAAGAACTATACTCACGACTCGACTAGAGGACCTGGATAAGGATCAGACTTCTGATATAATCCAGATAGTTTGACGCTTAAAATAATGCATGGTATAAAGAGCAAAATGCACCAACCTAGACCAGCCCAGAATCCATTCTGTGAAAATAGAAAATAGTATATTTTATCTAAATAGATCCGATTTGTGTAAGTAATCAAGTTAATCATTAATAATTGGATTATATATATATATATATATATATATATATATATATAGTAGAAAGTTTCTGTTTATCTACTTTTATACCAGTCCAGCAATCTATCTTTGTATCTGCCTATCTACTTACCTGTATCTTTGTATCTGTCTATCTGCCTACATGTCCATCTTCATAACTGCCTTCCGTCCTACTATTTACCTGTGTATTTTTCTATCAGCCTACCTATCAATATGTATATACCTGTTCATATGCATGCCTGCTTATCTGGCTATCTGCCTACCTATCAATATGCATATACCTGTCTATCTGACTATCTTTTTACCTATATACCTGTTTATCTGTTTACTTGTATACCAGTCTACCTATCAACTTGTATACCAATCTATTTGCCTTCCTTTATCTATCTCTCTGCATATATCTCTATATGCTTACCTGTTTTTCTATAGCTTTGTCTACCTATCTACATGTCTACATGTCTCTCTATTTACCTGTCTACTTGTAAAGTAAAAACTAAATAATCAATTCATCAACATAGTAATTAGTAACATTATAACCTTCCCGTGGCCATCACAACGTCTTAGCTTGGCAAAGTACTGAATTTAAATCCAATTAGTTAGCACCATCTTGTACTTATTAGTACCAATGAGCAGGGCTAAAACATAAAAATAATAGAAAAAATTAAACTTACGAATGGATCCAGTACATTGTTGCAAACTGCAACAAGGGTTGATTTGTATGCAACAGACAGAGGCCCACATTGACCAACATTGTTTTTGGTCTCGTTCACTACATATTTGAGATAGTTTCTGATGTCTTCTTCAACGCTGGTTACCACTTCCTCCACCATCTAAAAAGACATACGTTTAATTAATAATACAATTACCTTTTGGTCTACTATTCTGTATTTTCACAATTGCTCTCATACAAACATATGATCTTAATTAGAACATAAAATTTTTAACTTACTTACTCATTAAATTATTATTCACTTACTCATTAAATCTAGTACTGATTTACTGCTCACTTACGCATTTACACATTAACTCACGTACTCACTCACACTCACTTAGTCTCTTACTCATTTTTGCAAATACTCCTTACTCATTTGCACATTTAATCATGTACTCACATACTCACTTACACGATTACTTACTCATTCACTTGCTCAATTACACACATACTCGCTTACTCGCAAATTCATTTTCTCACTCACTCACCAATTTACTTAATAATTTACTCACTTACAAATATATTAACTTACGAATTTTCTAACTTAGTAAGTAACTCATCTACTAACTCAATAACATAATGAATTCATCGCTTACTTACTCACTTATTCGCTTATTTACTTACACTGGTGTGTATTACAATGATTTGAAAATGTACTCACAATTTTAACAAACGATGGTCCTTCCTCTTGTAAATATTTTTGCGCTACTATAATCTGCTCCTTCATCTGGCGAATTGCATCCGAGAATGAATCCGTGTTGAACTTCAAAGATATTTCTAAATCGGTAGCCACAGTCTGCAATAAATAATCATGAGGATTAAATAAAAATGAAGTTTTTTTACTTACCGTTTCTTAGGAACTAATTATATATTATAAACAATAATTTAATCTTGTTTACATATTGTTATAAGTACCTGTAAATTGAAAGTTTTCTCAACTAAAGGATCAACAGAATCCTTTTGAATTGCTTTTAACTTTGAAGACTGAAACCTCAAATCACGGGCAATTTGAGGATCAATCCTTTCAATTACAGCGGCTGCTTCAATTAATTTATCGGCGAGCTCGTTCAGATTCACGCTGGTAACATTAGTTGATAACTAGAAAATAAATAATATTAAATTTTAATATATAATTAAGCATCATCATTTATTACAAATGAATAGATAGATTGAAAGAATATAATTTTATAGAAACTCAAAAACTGTACTAAACACGAGCATAATCATGTATATGAAAGATCACGAAGCTGCCGAAGTCAAAATCTTGTTGATAATCAAGCCATGTTGTTGTTGTTACTATTTATTTTTATACAGTATATAAATTTATATTTAATCATATCTCTTAAAAAATTAATACCGTACTTAGCCAAATGTAAATATCTATATACCTAAAAATACCCAAATAATGAATTAGACATACTGAAAGATTTAAAAGCATAAAAGAATATGAGTGAAATTTCTCATCATATCTAAACATTTCTAGAATAACCTACTATAAAGCTGTAGGTTATTCTAGAAATATTTAGATATGATGAGAACGTTTGCTAGATATGCCGATTATCTGCATATCTAATACCATTTGTTTCTTTTAATCTCCTGGGATTGAAGAACTAAATCACTTTCAGATACTTATTAAAAATACTACTCATCACAGCATTCAGAATTTTACATTTATGTAAATAATAGAATAGCCTATAATTTGCTTACTAATCAACTACTTACCGTATGATTGTATTGGTAAAATTTGAAGTCATTCAATTGGCTTTTCTCCAACTTTTCTAATTGATCTAATCCATTTTGCGAGATGATGCTTACACCCGAATCCAATTTGAAATCATTGAGCATATTTTTGAGTTGCAGGGAAATCTCAAAACGATCAACGTATCCTAACAAATCATCAATGCTGCCACCACTTAGTACAGAATCCAAACTAAAAACCTGAAATGAATAGAAATGTCTTAAAATTCATATAAAATTGATTAAGGCAATTGAATAAAATAAAGGTTTTCATCTGATGACTTCCACATATAAAAGTACTATCTGTCGCCATAAAATGTATATTAAAAATATCCTTGGCTATAATTACTATCACAACATATTAGTGCTATCAGATAAATTATATATTTTAATACTTTTATTAATACATCTTTCCCCGATGTGTATAAATAATGAATTTAATTATTATTAGTTTGATTTGAATTGTTTTACTTGTCGTAGGTCCGTAATATGTCAGTATGTTCTTTAAAATCATGATCTCTATCGTCAAAAAAAGTTTTATAAAAACTACCAAAAACTGATCTCGTCGAGAAGTTAAAGAATGTAACTTACATTATAGGCTGATTCATTGTTGTGACATTTTTCAATGATCGTGCTAAGTTTCAATGCGCCAGGTGTCTTGACCCTCAAATTGGATCTTGAGTGTATTATTTGATCAAGATCAACAATGTCATCAATGATGCCAAAAATCTGGTCGTTCTGTGAATTTCTGAAAAAAAAACAGATATTATATATATATATATATATATATATAACAAACACAAACACACACACATATACGTACACAACAGACACACACGCACACAAAAATATATTTTGTGTGTATATAACTAGTTGTAAGGGATATTTTGCCTTGAGGCAAACTTTGATTTGCTTAACCTATTCATCTTTCTACCTGTCCACCAGTTTACCTGTATACTAGTCTACTTACCAACCTTCCTACTTGTCTGCCTATCTATCTTTAGACCTGCTTATCTTTCTACCTGACCATCTTCCGACCTGTCCACTTATCGATCCTTCTACCTCTTTATTTTTCTACCTGTCTTCCTGTGTAATTTCGCACCTGTATATTTACTGGCCTACCTGCCTACTGTAGTCTTGTCTACCTTCATATATGGCTACCCGCCGTAAACCGGTAGAGGTATGGACTTCTACCTGTATATACAGCTTTTTGTCTATCCGTTTAGTTTCTATCTCTCTACTTGTCTATTTGTCGACCGGCGATTTCTGTAAACTAGAGGTGTATGGAATCGTGCCCTAACGGAAATTGCTAGAACTTCCCGTACCGTAATGAAATAAAATAAAATCGAGAAATATTAAATGTTTTCAAATAGATTATTATCAACACTAACTTTCATTATTCTTATTTCATAGACAAAATATAAGAGCTCATGAATTGGACGACGTCGTTTATAAATGCTTACAGAAAAGTATGTAAACATTGTCTAAGCATTGTCTAATAATTATGAGAATTATATCAAGTGATTGGCAAAGGTAAATTTTTTTATTTTTAAAATTAAAATCCAAATTATTTTCGATATTAAAAAAATTGGGAAATAAAAAAATGTTTTTTCTTTCTTTCTTTCTCAAAAGCAATTGTTTTGTCAACACAATCAGAAATGAATCATTCAAATCGGTTTATTAACTTTCAACACATGTTTAAGTAACAACATGAAAATATCATTTGCAATTTGATAAACCTAGATCAAACCGTTAAACGTTTCACTGCGATTGAAAAGAGGGCGTCCATTAATCACGTGAGGTTTTTAGGGAAGGGGGCGTTTGACAGAAAATCACAAAATATCACGTGGGGGAGGGAGAGGTAAAGATAATCTTGATCGATAAAACAGGAAAGAATCCTTATATTTTCTCATCTTATAATAGAAAAGCTAATTATTCAATGTATTAAAATAATTCTATATATAGAATATTTATATTTCATAATCAGAACAAACTTTCTCAAAAACCAAATCATCAGTTCAGATTCCAGAAAAAGGCTTTAACTGTTGGTTAAATTAAATAAAATGTTATAAATAAACCTTACTAAAATCTATTAAAATTAATCTTATACATCTCAGCTTACTAACTTTATGTTTTGTAGAGAACAGAATGGACAAAAACTTAAAAAATATAATGCTGTTCGTAGAAATAAATAGTATAAATTATGAAAATTACTGTTCGGTTTGTACCTTTATTGGTTTTGTACCTTTATTGGTTTTGTACCCTTATTTTTTTATATGCTATGAAAATGTAAATAGAAGTTAGTCATGATCACAAAAATTATCAAATCTTATTTAAAAACTTTAGCAAATATGAGAATATACACATTTTGAATATAAAAAAAAATTTTGTAGGATTTTTTCTTTTTTGATATATTCAAACAAATTCAGTTCCACAAACAAATATGATTATTCTTCATAACAACATAACCGACATATTGCGTTGTATTAATAAAAACAATCATTCTCCAGAACAAATTTCTAAAAATAAGACTAATAGAAAAAGTCATCATTTGGATTTATTAATAAATTAAAGATTTAAAAATACTAGAAGCTCCTAATGCAACTCGCAAATAATATGAAACAAAATTATCATTTGTATCGGTTTTGTAAATGCTGGGTACATTTAAAATTATTAAATTGTATTTTCTATATAAAACTTTCTCATAAAAGAAATTTCTAAATTAAATAAGATTCATCTATTTTTTTCATTAGAAAAAATTGTAAAAATTTCTAACGTCCTGTTCTGCAGAAAAAATAATACAGTATAAAAAGTTTTTTTATAATTTGAAGTTAAAATGTATTTAAAGTTTTTTAGTAGTTTGAGTACTAATTTAAATCATCCATGTCAAATACTAAACAAATAGACAACATGAAATATTGAAGAATAATAAAACAGCTAAGTTGCACAATGAAGAGTGTAAAAACTAAAATTACCATTCTTAAATGTAGTATTAGAAAACATATTAATACCAAGAATACTAATGACTGCATCAAAATTAAAATAATAAAAAAAGATTAAATATATTCATAACCAATATGAACTCAAAACTTCAAATTTATTAAAAAGTGAGTTATAAACATACAGTTTACCAAAAATCTATTTTACAGATTGGCACTTTCAGACTTTTATAAAAGTTTATTAAATTACATCCACTGTGTGAAAAATGATTAAAAAAAGTTATTCCTCGTCTAAAATAATATATAAAAATAAATTACTTATAAGTTGAGTTACATTTGTATCATAATTATAGTTTGCATAGTTCATTTTATAAAAATGTCGCACTAAAATGTGTATCAATATCTGTTTAAAAAAAAAAAAGGTAGTAAATAAAATAAAATTACAGCATTGCAACAATATATTTAAAATGATTACAAAATATGTAATGCACATTCAGTTCTTCAAAAAAAATTCAGAGTTGGCGATTCGCTTTTCCAACTTTGAAAGAATTATTGTCTCAAAAATAAAAGATTACTCAAAAAATCTCAGTAAGTAAACAAAGTATAACAATGTAAGCACACAGGATGAAATTAATTTTAATGAATTCATTGTATTAAACATCTTTTGTCCATATTTTATTGGGAGAATACTTTTTAAATGAAATATAAGATTTTAATCATTCTAATTATGCATAATGGAAAATTTCTAGTTATTTCTAATTTCTCTTAATAATTAATTGATCAAATTATATATTTAATATATTCTACTTAAACAAAATCAATACTATAGGATGTTGTTGTTCAACTTGAGTTTTCAACGTATATTTCAAAATTAAGCATGTAAGTACAGAATGAACTAAAAATTACGAATAAAATTCATTCAATAAAAAAATAATAATTTGCTTGGGTGGAGCGACTAGGGCGGATGCTGAGCACGCCATAACAGGAAAAGGGTAGACAAGAACTATGGAGGAAAATAGTAAGGCAAAAAATATCCCCCCCAACCAATTTCATAACATTATTGACAAAAAAAGAATATATGCTGTGCTATATAATTATATTCAATCAAATGAAATAAAACTGTGAAGAAACTTATAAATTTGCGTAGACAAATTTAGAAAGAAGTAAATACGATCATTTTTATTAAATATAGGTATAAGAAATTATGGTCACGTCTATTTCCCGTATTTAGCTTCAAATTATTTATAAGTACCTCTTTGTAAACATCAATTGAAATGTGTTAGTATATTTTTCGATTTGTTTGGAGCACTTTACAAAAAAATCTGTTAATTATTGACAATAAAAAATTCCATGAAGAAATGGAAAAGTTGATAAAATAAAAGCCAAATCTCAGGCTGATATTTTTACTCACTAAAAAATAAATCATAAATAAATTTGATATTTGTCAATACCACTTGGGCTTGTTATCATTACCCTAGATGGTGTACAATGTTACAAATGACAGGTTTGACCAAAGTTTCATTTGAATTTAAAAGTTTTTAAAAACATTATATTTAAATGCTTTAAAAGAACATACTGTTTTAGATTATTTATATAAAATTAAATTGCTTTGAAAATATTAATAATAATCTTCAATATACGGTTGATCATTTTTATCATTATTTATTAATTGTATTAATTATTTTCATAATTTAATTGTTTGAGATATATTATTAATATTACATAAAAGTTGCAATTAGTTGGATAAATTTATAAAAAATTCTACATCGATAAAATAAGGATTAAACTATATAAACCATCTGTTGCATTCAATTAATAAATGCATAATATAGTATATAATAACTTTTAAAATCCTGACAAGATTTTCATGAAGCTGATCATGTAACTGTATCCAATGACAAATATAGGTGCATAGTAAAAGTAATTGAATACTTCAAAACATAAATTAGCAATAATCCAAAAATATTAATAATGATCCGAATATTTAAATATTGTTTAAAAAATGTAATAGAATTTTATTAAGACGTATTATTCTTAAATTCACGGAAGACTTATAAGAATATCGACAAAAATCTTCAATATAACAGTAAAAATGTGAAGAAAACTAAAATGGCTAATTTCCAAGACATCGTGGACAGACATTATTTCTGGTTAAAGTCGAGATTATTTTTTTTACTAATTGTAAATATAAATAATACTGGTGTGGTGATAATTGACTGCAGGATCGATTGGTTCATATTAAAACAACTATTTTAAAGAAAATTAAATTTAATTGGAATTAAAATTATTTAAAAAAATTAAATTAAGATATTAGAACAACTGTTTTACCATGCTAACGAGAAATGCTACGTTAACATCAATTCAATATTATAACAGAGCAATAACATTTTTGTTATTTGATAAATATAAAATTAAATTCAAATTAATTCTTTTTGAATCAGTCATCAATTCTTGTTCATAAAATATATTTAATAAAACTATGTGAAAAAAGTTTTAACATTGTATTTGTATCGTGTAATGATAGTTCAAAAGGATTTTATTTACAATCGAATATAATACAACCTAAAAAGAGCAAGATATTAAAATTATGTCATATATTTTTCCTAAACAAAGAATATACTTCGTTTATGATTGACTGAAAAATTAAATTAGAAATATTTATTGAGAGCTAATTGCAAATTTAATTGGGCCAAACAGAAAAAATGTATAAACTCTACATGAATATAGAAATAACACCATAAATGAATGTTTCTTCAACTGTAAGATTTTAATAAAATTATTTTTTTCCATGATTTAAAAACTTAATATTATATTACATTTTATGAATTTTATCTTTATATTTTTGTGATCATAAATAATAATATATTTAAAATAACGCTTTTATATATTTATATTTGATTATACTGTTTTGAATAAGCTTATATTTAGAAAACTAAAAAAAATCTATTGGCAATTTGTTTAAAATTCCTTTTGGGGGAATTAGAGTAAGGCTAGAAAAAAAGAAGCCAGTAAGTTGTAGCGCATAGTGTTATATTCATCAAAATTTAAATTTTATTCAGCAATTGTCATTAATTAAATTTATATTGATTGTATTTAACTAAGTAATAGAATGCATATGAAGGAACTATAGGCAATTTATGCACCCACCATGTATTTAATTAAAAAAATATGGATATAAGAATAAATCATTTATTTATTTAACCACATATTTATTAAAGATTAAAGGTATCAGAAAATCTGATTATAAATCCTGAACTAGCTGTAAGTGGAATTCTGTCTTAAGGCAATTGGGGCATCGTGCCTTAAGGCAAATTGCTGGAACTTCCCGTACCAAAAATTATTATTTTTTAAAAACGATTAACACATTTTGAAAAAATTTTACTTCGAAAAAAATAGATTTTTGAGAAACTATAAATTTGACAAAAAATACTTTTTTTTGAAAAAAAAAATTTTTTTATTAGATAAAAAAATTTTTTTTTGAGAAAAAATTTTTTTTTTGAAAACAAAAAATTTTTTTGAAAAAAAATGTTTTCTTCATTTTGATATATTTTGAAAATTCTGAACTTTTTTTCAAAGCAATCGCACTGCTTGAACTGCATAGAGACGAAATTTCAAAGCTCGCAGGTGCCGCGCCGCCGTCTAACGCATAAGCATTGGTACGGAACCCACAGAAATGTAAAAAAAATTATACTTATTGTTAAAATCTCTATAAAATATCTGACAATTTGATGTGCTTATGTTTAATGATCATTTTTAACCGCCGAATGGCATTTTTTTTACTTTTTTCATTAGATCTCCGAAACCGCTAGACCTGCCTTCATGAAAATTTGATTAATTCTTCATCTTGTCAATACAAGTAAAATGTTTTTTGAATTATCCAAATCGGACGCTCCGTTCTCTTTAAAAACGGAGGTAATGTTTTTGGCACTTTTTGCCCCGTATCTTCGGAACGGCTAGACTTGCCTTTGCCAAAAACTAATCAGCACGTCTCCTTATCAATACGAATCGATTGTTTTTGAATTATTCAAATCGGTTGATCCGTGTTCCCGAAATCGTCGACGAAAATTTGTATCCGCACATACATACACACACGTACATACATACATACACATACATACATACATACATACATACATACATACATACATACAACATACATACATACATACACACACACACACACACACACATACACATACATCCATTTTTTCTAAGGTATGCCAAAATGTTCAGAAACCTCTGAAACGTAAAGATATATAAAAATTTTCATTTTCGATTTTTTTGCGATTACTATAACTTACCCTACGGGAAGTTAAAAATAGAAAGATCATATTTTTTACAAACCGAGTAAATTAATATTTTGTTTTTGTTTCGTTTCAGTTCTTTTTAATATGTGCATTTGGTTCTAGTATGTAATTATTATTAACGACGATGATGAATTATTAGTAAAGCGTTCATTCTATATTCAAAAATAATATAAATTAAAAATTATTGGATATTTAAAAAAAATTTAAAAAATGCACAATAAAAGTATCATATCGGAAGCATCATTGCAAATACAAGCTGATATCATGTGGGTTATTAATATTTTTATTTTCATAAGATTTTATTCATATACGAGTTTATGTATTATTTTCAGACATTTGTATTTTTAGATATTTGTGAAAAACAAAATTAATTAAGCAATTATTTTTGTTACTAATTTCAAATAATTGGTATTACACCATCGAAAAATATTTTTTCTTTGATTTAAAAACATATTTAAATTTTGATTTAAATCAAAAATTAAATATATAAGTATAAAAAAATATAGAAATATTTTTGGTATGCATATATCAAAACAAATTTCGATACAAGTAAGTTAGTTACTATAAAAATATATCAATTTCAATGTTGATTGATTTTCACAAATGAATTAACAAAAATAGTTACTCGAGTTTAAACGTCAAATAGCATTTAACAAAATTGAACCATTAGATAAAAATTTAAAACGCGGTTGTAAAAACAAAATACATTTTAATATTAAAACTTGTTTTATTGATTAGTGCAAAGGAAAAGGACAGGAAAATAGTTTCATAGAAAACCACGTCGAGGGACCCTTTAAATGATAGCGAAGAATATATAGAATAGAATAGAATAGAATATATTACACACAATTATAAAGTAATAAAATTAATATTGTGGATCCCAAAAAGTTACCACCGTAAAACTGTAAAAAAATTTTTTATACCATAACCAGATTATGATCTAATAAACTAATTGGAAAATTTAAAACAAATAATTTTTAAAAAATATTTTCTTCTTCCAAGTAATCAAAATCTTATCAATTCTACCATCACAGTTAAATTCAAACAAATTTCTAAGAGCAATATTCTACACAAGGTCCAATATTGGAATAAAAAATATGAATATTTTACAATTTTCTCATAGGAGTAACAAAAATAGTTTCAGACAAATTATATGAAAAATGTACATTTACAGAAACTAAATATAAATATGTACAAGTGCATACTTTAATTGTACTGTAACTAAACTAAATATGTACAGACATAATATACTTGATGTCTGTTCATATTTAGTTACTGTACAATTAAAATATGCACTTGTACATATTTATATTTATCAGTTTTTATTTATCACACGTATTTATTAATGGACAAAACAATAGAAAGTTCTTACTACATCAGTCTTTAATTATGGACTTGGCATTCACTTTTAGAGGAATTAGATCAATTTACTAATTTTGGAAATAATTTAAATTATATATTTTGATTAAAAAATGTACTCACTGTAAAGGAACACACACGGTCCTGTGCACCAAAAGTCCGATGATAAAATGAGCCAAGGCTACAACGGCCAACACGATAGTAAATAGGAACATAATTGCAACGCCCCTTGAACAAGGAAAAAAATAGTATTAGATATTTATTATATAAAATATAAAATATAAATAACATGCAGATTATAATAAAATTGTAATTTGTTTTTATCAATAACATTCTGTTATTTTATAAGACTGCTCAAACACAGAGAACTAATGGGTGGAGAGCCTACAACTCATAATCATAATACGTTTTGAGCTTTTATATCAAGGCTTGCTATGTTTGCAAAATTCCTATTTCAATTCTACGAAGTTTTTCGATGTTTACGTCATACAGATGCAAACACAAAAGTAAGTAAACAAATTTGTACTTGCATTTGAATTAGTTTGCGAAATCATTGACCTCACTAAATTCAAGTGTTTGTGACCCAAACCTTTTAGAAAAAAGCTAATCCTTTTTTAACTTATTTATAATAACGAAAACTATGCAATCAGATTCTCAAAATATATTTAATTTTTCTGTTGCAATTTCTTAAATATAATTGGCGTTTATGTAGATAAATAAATGAATATGCATTTTGAACAAATATCAAATTGTTTTCAAAAATAACAATATATGTATTATAAATAGTAAAGTGTAGTACACATTGTTATAGTTATCAGTTTAATATTATTGAAAGAGACACCCAACAAACGAACACAAAATGGGTACGAAATTTAAACAATAAATAGTTGTAGAGTAGTTTAACAAATTAACCCCAAAAATGTGATTGATATTTTAGACAAATAATGTCATTATTAACGTCTATATAATGAACATGCCGAAGGGAACAAAAACCTATAATTCAGTTTATTACAAATTAATATTATCAAAACAAATGTCCATTATAAAGTATCCATATAGACGGCTCATATAAATAAGAAAAAATGTGTAAATGTATCATATAAATAAGATAAAATATGTAAAAACAAAATTGAAATGTATAAATCATCAAATAAAAATTCGACTGCAAAATGTATTTCAATAAAGGTGTGAAACACTTCATACTTTTCTTCATTTTAGAATAAAAAAATTATAAAATAAAAATGATTAAGAATGTTAAAAAATAAAACAAAAAATATTAGTTATTTTTTTCTTACCACATAAGGAAGGAACTACCGGCGCCTTTATTACAGCAATCGTCACCATATCCATCTGGCCTTTTGCCACAAATGCCACATAATAATCCAAAACTAACACACAATAAGACCTGCAAAATTAAAAAAATATATATACCTATAATACTTTCAAATAGGACTATCTAAAACTCAAATACAATCAAAAAAACTTACATAACGTGTTGTTTTAAATATATAAATTGATACCACTTTTTCCTCGAAGAAAATCAAGAAACAATGACTTCACCAAGAATGTATTGGTATGATAATTCAAATAAAATTATACATAAAAAACTATATTCTCATTTTAGGATTTCAAAAATGAATTATATATTGATTGAAATATATATTGATTTAATCCGATATGCTTATAAAATATAAGCAGATTATCTAGAAAAGGCAATGATGGGATTTAAATCCAGTTTTGCTTATCATTTTGACGTAAGAATATTTAGGTGCTAACTATATATGTTTATGTATGAATAAAATTTAAATATGAATCTAGAAAGATCAATTTTACTATAATAAATAGCATTTATCAGAGGGAACAAAAAATAACAAGCATTTGTAAAAAAAAAGGGTTACAAAAATTTGTAATACTTCTTGACTAAGTTTAATAACTCAAATATATAAAAAAATAAATTCACGTTTACAAAATCAATAATTTTAAAAATAATTCCAAGTATACAAAACGTAGTTCAAAATTACATATTAAAAACAACGAAAATTATTATTAAAAAATAGTTTTGAAGAAAATATATATCACATATTTGAACTGTTATTGACGAGAGTATATTTGACAATTGTTGATTAAACGTCGCATAAGTTGTTAGGAAAATAAAATGAAGCTATTACAAAATTCATTCAAATATTTTAATTTCTTCATTTACTTAAATTTGCATTATGAGATACTTTAAGTTAATCAATCATTTATTTACTACACAATTAAATTGAATCAGAATATTTAAGAAGAAAAGTGTTAGATTGACCAATACTGAATAAAACAATTCATAAATAAATATTTGTATAAAATTATATAAAACATACTATAAAATATTACACAACAGTTTGCAATTTAAATCAGGAGAACGCTAGTAGCAGATAAAAATTGTACAAGGATTTAATATAATAACGGCATTTGGAGTTAATATTTCAAACATATATTTATTTTTAATTTTGTAGTATCGAAATTAATTAAATAATCCTTCTATTATCTATTGCTAATAGGTGTAAGTAAACCAAAACCATTATTTTTTTAAATGTTATAGAGACTTTAAATGTCATAATTAAGAATTTCAGTGATGAATGCACACAAGGGATAAGAATTCTAACTTGAAGTACTAAACTGAGCTTTCTAGAAAATACATATATACAATATATTACAGTTTTTAGTTAATATGCCTGAAGAAGAAAAGAAAGGTGATAAAAAAATAGATCATTTAGAACAATTTAAAGCGAAAACGGTTACAAGTTGACTTGCAGGGAGACGGCGAAAATTGTTGTATGCTTCCTGATGTCAAGAAGTTTTATTGTGTATTTGGTATTTTTGGCAGAAAACTATTTGCTACTACTCCATAAAAACTCGAGTATGTACTTTGAGCTATAAGACCGCCCAAAGAAATCAATCGCAAAAGATCGACTTGATATATATAGCTAAGAAAAGGACACCAGTAAAATTAAGGAACATGATATTTGATTCTGGGAAAACTTCGTTGGTTTGGTTAGGAAATTAATCCACCTTAATCCCGTTCCTAACCAATTACCATGTGATTTTATACATGACAAATAATTACTGATAAAAAATTTGGTTGGACTTAAAAACAAAAATAACGTAAAAAACACTGTATGAATTTTGTGATAAAGACGACAAATTCTAATAAGGAACAGATCATGATAAAAGACCCTTCAAAATTGTATATCTAAATCCAATGAAATGAATACTGTATTCAATGGAGCTTTTAAATAATAAATGAAGAAATACTTTCTCATATTATTAATTTGAACAATATTACACATATATAAGTAAGATTCTGTAAAATATTTTAAAGATAAAAAATTAATTCCAATATATAATTAAAGTTAAAATTTAAAATAATAATAAAACAAATTATAATTTATTTAAAAAAAATCAAAATAATTCATTTCAAATTCATTGAGATAACTCATTGCAAGAAATTTAATAAAAGACGTATTAATTAACAAGGTGAATATAATAAATTTTTTGTAGTCTCAAAGATATTACATATATAAACGAAAAAGATCATTTATGTTCCCGTCATTTATGCATAATCGATAATACACAGAGAAATTTTCAATAGTTCATCCAGAGAGTAGACATTTGAGCATTGCACATTAGATGCTACACTCTTACTAAATAAAAATATTTGAGAATTTTGTATACTAGATAGATAGTCAAAATAAATAGAAATATTACTCATATATTAGTTTTTTTTAAATAAAAATAACAAATTTGATACAATTTAAAACCGCTGTAGTAGAAATGCACGGAATTCAAAATACTTGCAATTGATTTCATTGCTGGAAAACAGAGAATAATAACCCTTTTATAATTAATAAATTATAATTCACAAATATATTATTTAGGCAATTAGATATAGATATTTTATAAAAATATAAGTTATCCGTAATCCATTATACCACAATCAAAATGGAAAACAAACACAAAGTATACACATTCTCAAAGATTACTTATACTAAAATTAATGCCTTCTAATTTGCAATACACTTATAAGTAATATAACAAAACAGGGGAGATATAATTTAACAGTGAGAGGTATTTTAGAATGTTGTAGAAAAAGAGCAGATCATAACAAAAAATGACGAATTTGATAATAGAATTCTGCAGCAATTTCAATTTACCAAGTATTATTTTTATTATAAAAAGAATTATCTTTTAAATGTAGATCATTACTTCATCTGGTGCAGATATAACTATTTACAGTGCTACTAGACCTAGAAAAGCATAATGCATAACCATAATTTAAATTAAAAATTTAATAAAAATATTAAAAAAAATAATATTAGTAAAATAAATAAAGAAAAATTCTAAAAGCATATATTTTCAAAATCATCGATTCAAGATAAACATGTACCACAACATAAACTTTTATAACAAAAGCCAAGATTTATAACAATTACTGTAAAATCCGACTGCAAAATTACAGAAAGCAAGAATTAGTTGCATATTTTTTATGTAGAAACTACAATATAAAATTGAAATATTTGATTTGGAATAGAATACCACCGAGATTAAAACACAAAACTAGGCTTTAGTTGTTCTAAGCATATACATAGTATAAGAAATTATTGTAAAAACGAACAATCCTTATTAAACAATAAAGTGAAACATTTAAAGAAATATTAATGTGGTTCTAAAAATATTGAAGATAAATACTCTACGTATTCATTGCAAGATATATAATAGAGGACGGAAACACATGGAGAAATATATATATATATATATTATATTATATAATATATATATATACATATATACTATACAATATAATATATTCTTCGAAAAGTCCAATTTTCACACCTGCATTGCAACAATAAACAAATCAGAAGTTAAAGAAAACACGTTGATGTACCATGTTTTGCATAAAGATCAAAAGTAAAAAAAAGTTGATCAAATTATAAAAACCTGCAGTAAAAATGTTAAGTATTGATAAAACAGATATTAGTAATTTATTTAGTAAATATCCTAAATTTTATTGAAATATTGAATTAAAAATTAATTGAGATGAACGAAGGATAAACAATATAATAAGATCGTCACTTCTAGACGAACCAGCGTACATTTTTATAAACGATCCAATAGTTACCAACAAACACCGGTTAAAATATTTCTCTAAATCAGCAAACATATAAAAATTAATGATAAAAATAATTAATTATATGTTGAACAACTTAACAAACAACATGAATGCGACGATTTTTTATTTAAAATGTTGGCGTATTTAATATCTGCAAAATAATGAGCAAGAAGTTAAAATTTAAGAACAAATGAAGTTGTTTATTACGGATTTAACTAAAGCAACCCTTTTACAATAAAGAAGTACAGTATTTAATTTTTTTACTATTAGTTTAGTTTACTAATTGTAAAATAGTAATAAAATATATTAATTTATAAATCACAATCACAACACCTAAGATTTTTTTTCTAAATTATTCGTATTTGTTAGAAGCATAAACAATTAAACAAAAAACTATAAATAAATACACACGTCCTTACATGCGTCAAGATTAAAAGATTATTATTGTTATTTATAGATTTAGTATTTAAAAATTAATAGTACAAATTATTCTGAAAAACTATAAATGAATATACACATACGTCAAAGATAAAAGATGAGTATAAATTAAGTTAAGAATTTATAACATTCTAGATACTCCCCCCACGAAGTAATGCCTAACAGCGGGTTTCCGTAGGGACCAGAGGCAAGGGCAAAGCGGAGGTTTTAGTCGGTATTATACCAGGGCGGTATTGAGTCAGACTACCCAGACGTCAAGGATAAAAAGATTATTTATTTTTTATATATTTAGTAGTAATTTAGTAGTATTTAAAAAATAATAGAACAAATAATTCTAATTCTGATATTATTCCAATATTTCTGCATATAATTCAAAACAAAACGTCACTGCAAAATTATCAAAATAAGAGTTAAAAAAATCATAGATAATGCCTAGAAACACAATGAACTGAATTCAATGTAGCGATTTTTTAATAATTTAAATAAATTTGCCAATTCTCACATCATTATCTGACGACTGTAAAAAACATTCC